TCCCGAGCTGCAAATGCAGACATGTGATTCTAAGGTGTTTGGTCTGAGCTACTAGAAGGCTGGAAGCTCCACCCGCTGCGGTGTTAAAATTGATCATCAGACTAGTTTTCCTTTGGAATATCTGGAGTTTTGCTTGGAGCCGGTTTCAGAGTGACGCCTTTGTGCTAGGCACGGTGGCAGGAGCCTGTAGGTCCAGATACCCAGGAGGCTGAGGCAGGAAAATTACAAGTTCGAAGCCACCCCCAGCTGCCTTGGGAGGAGTGGGCGTGGGTCTCTTGGGAGCGTGGGGCCAGTGGCCGTGCCTGCTCACCAGGCTCTGGACTCCGCGGGACTTAGGAGTGACCCTTGGTGCGGTTCAGTCCGAAGAGCTGGCTAGTGGAGGGCCATGAGACGCCGCCTAGTAGGCTCACTGGGGCTGGACTGGGGCGCCTTTGCGGCATGGCACTGAGTTAGTGTTAGATGAGTAAAGGAAGGCAGGGAGCGGTGAGAGGGCATCAAACACAGCAGAAGTGGACTACGGCCCTGGCGGTGTCTGATTCACAGTGGCTGAGACCAAAGAACCACTGGGCAGGGAGACACTAAAGACACAGCCTGCCTCTGATAGTGGGACCCATCAAAGATCTGGGCAGTGATGGGGTCTGGCTGCATCTGCCCAGCTGTCTCTGGACACCTGTGCCAAGCCCTCCTGGGGAGGGAGACCAGGGAGATGGCTGAGGTTGGATGGCGGCCCAAGGAGAAATGCACTCCGAGAGGAAGCAGGATCCTCCCAGTCCTGGCCTTTGGGACGCAAGAATGAGCTCCTGGTTGTGTGCGGGAGAAACAACCTAGGGAACCCTAGAATAATTGCCCAACAAAAAAGGATTGCCACCTTCTTTTGTCACGTCCAGAGTTGGCAGCGGCTTCTCCAGCCGCCTCCCAGCTGGCGCTTCAGAAGAACACGGTAATGATGGGATCATGATGAGAGAAGTGGTCCTCCTCGGTGGGTGCTGGGACTTGGTGTCCTCAGAGTCGAGAGACAGGAGACGGGGTGGGGCACACTTGGAATCCTAAGAAAGAAGTTGATTGTTGAATGTGTCCCCATCATGACAGGGCCGTGTGACCTTTGAGGACATCGCTGTGTATTTCTCCCAGGAAGAGTGGGGGCTCCTGGATGAGACTCGGAGGTTCCTGTACCTTGATGTAAGGATGGGCAACTTTGAGCTTACCACCTCACTGGGTAAGGCCCCTGCACCCACCCCAGGCCCTGGGAGTCTTTCTTTTTCTCCCCCAGGGGCAGCTCTGCCCTTCCTGTGTTGGGAGCCATGGAAGCTGGAAACTGATCAAATTGGTAAGAGCAGAACGGGGCCTCTGCCTCAGCAGTCAGCTTTCACACGTTTGACCAGTTTGCAGCTCCAAAGCTTCCAGCATCTCTGCAGACACATTGTGAGCTCTGCCGACTTCTCATTCCCTTTGCTGTGGACGGCAGCGCTTAGCTGAGTGCACTGCCTCGCAGCCCTCAGCCTGCCTTCTGCTCCAAATTCCTTCCCCTTCTAGATGACGTTTCTTTGTAACCACCCACGTCAGGAACTGTAGGCACTGTCATGATCTTGTGTGGACCGTGAACTGCCAGACTCTCCTTCCAGAGTTTCTGCAATACTCATTTTGTTTCCTTTTGTTTATTGTAATAATTTCTCTGTGTTGAGCTGCCGGCAGCCACTGCTGATTGCTTGCCTTCATTCACTTTCTATAAGACTTGCCTTATGAACTTCACATGTAGTTAAACAGCTGGGGGTGTGGGAATACCCAGTTGTTTCCCAAGGTGACCATAGGCATTAGTCTCCAGGGAAGCTTCTCCCAAGTCAGTGGCAGCTCGGAAGGACATGATGCCGGAATTGTGTTTAAATTATGACAAGGGCCTGCAGCATGTTTAACGGTATTTTGGTAAAAGTGCCACAGGCCCTACCTCGGTAATTTCTTTCCTGGCTTCTCATTTCACCTGTGACTTCTGGTCCCCACTGCCCTGACTCTGTTCTCTTGTGCCCCTCCACGATGCCTCTCTACTTTGCTCCCAGCACTGAACACACTGTGCATTGTGTGTGTGCATTATCATTAAGCAGTCCTAAATATGTGACACTCAGTGCCAACTGGAATTTTTGGGCCTGGGCGCAACCGACCTTGTGCACAGCACACACACATCTCTGAGCTGTAGACGCTTCCTCTCCTTCCAGGGGAGGCTGCACCTCATGTCCTGTCTTGGCCAGACTGCACTCATCCTGTGATTTGAAGATGTCTAGTACTACTACACAGGCCCTTTTCCAGCCTTCCCTGAATTCTCTCATCCCAGGAAAACCTATGGGCTCACTCTACAAGGAACCAGCACGGCTCCATTCTTTGTCTTCTACAGAGAATTCCAGACAAGATGCACAGGTAGTCTTACAGAGTATAGGTAGAGTTTATTGCAAACTGATAAGCTGCCAGAGCAGTAGAGAGAGTGTACTCCAAAGGGTGAAAGTGGACTAGCACCAAGATGATAGTTGGACCACATCTGCAGACGGTCAGTGCTGGAAGCACCGTGCAGGTCTCAGGCCACGTTTCTGTGGTTAATGGGGTCTTCCAGCCATACTCCTTGCTGCCTTGGCGGTCATTGTTCCTTCACAAGGAAGATGGGCAGTGTAGACCAGCTTCAGAGGGAAGAAAATGCCGGTTACTACCTGGTTAATTTGTCTTCAGACCTTGAGGATTTCTAAGCCCACATTCGTGGTCTGGGGTTTGCGTGGGTCATGCCGCCACCAGCACACTCAGAGGAGGGTCCATACTCCTGAGCTGACATTTGAGATCAGTAGCTGGTGGATTGTATCTGCAGCTAAAGATTAAGCAAATGAAAGACAGGTGAGAAGCGTTGCTTTGTCTTTGCTTTTCATCCAGCCCTCAACTGCGGGTCTCCAGGCCTGCTAGTGTGACTTTCTGCCTAACAGGTCATGTTGACTGATTTGGATAATTTCAATGAGCTTTGGAAAGGAAGCTGCCCTTAGTTGTCCAGTGCCTGGGTTACGAAGTTAGGGCAAAGGTGTGTGCTCCAAGTGTGGAGGACCCCAGTACTGTGGTCTGCAGTATTGTTCTACACTGTGTCATTATCGTAGGGACTCTATTTTCCCTTTGCTGTCTCTTGAGAATCAGTTAGCCTTAGGATAAAGGGGGCAGTCTCCCTGGCCAGCACCATTTTTTAGGATATAAAAAAAATCTTAGTAAACAGAAACATTTAAAGCACAGTAATCTTCTACTAGAAGCAACATGCATTTCCTTATCTCTCTTCTTTCAGTTTGTGGGCGTGAAACAGAGGATGGAGTGGGGCCTTCTGCACAGAGTGTTTCTGTGGAAACAGTGTCACAGGTCAAGCCCTTAAAGGCAGGTTCATCCACCCAGAAGGCCCAGCCCTGTGAGATCTGTGTCCCAGTTCTGAAAGACATCCTGAATCTGGATGATGTACCTGTACTGAAGCAGTACTTCATTAGGGCATGTGCAAACCATCACCAGGAAGAGAAGCATCACGGTGCACAGAATCTGTTAAAAGGAGATACAGACAGTGCCTCTTTTGTGAAGAGCTATTTATCCCATGTATCAAGGAATATCCCCTTCTGTGGGAAGATTGAGCAGGACTTGTCAGCTAAGTGTTGTTTTCTTCAGGCCATCCTCAAAGATCAAAAGCCAAACAAAATCACAACAGGTATGGAGGCTATTCTATGTGGAAAAAGTTACCGCACATCAAATCAATGCAGAAAACCTCCAACCCCAAAAAAAAAATTGGTCAACAACCAAAAAACAATAAAAAAAAAAAGATATTTTGAGTCTAGCAAATGTGGGAAAGCCTTCCAGGACAAATATTCACATGTTCCACTCTAGATGATCCACACTGGAGAAAGACCTTATGAGTACAGTGAATGTGGGAAGTCTTTCAGCCAAAAAGCCACCCTTATTGTACACCAGAGAGTTCATACTGGAGAGAAACCATATACATGTCATGAATGTGGAAAGTGTTTTAATCAGAGTTCTAACCTCATTGAACACTGCAGAATTCACAGTGGAGAAAGATCTTATGTGTGTGGGGAATGTGGGAAAGCTTTTGGGTGCAAATCCAATCTTGTTCGGCACCAGAGAACTCACACAGGAGCAAGGCCATATGAGTGTGCTAAATGTGGGAAGTTCTTTAGGCAAAGTTTCAGTCTTGTTGAACACCAGAGGATTCATACCACAGCAAGGCCTTATGAGTGGGGCCAGTGTGAAAAATCCTTTAGTCAAAAAAGCACTCTTATTATACACCAGAGAGTTCATACTGAAGAAAAGCCATATAAGTGTGGTGAATGTGGGAAATCCTTCAGCCAAAGCTCCCACCTCATTGAACACTGCAGAATTCACACTGGAGAAAGGCCTTATGAGTGTGAGAAGTGTGAAAAATGCTTTAGTCAAAGAGCCACCCTCATTAGACACCAGAGAGTTCACACGGGAGAAAGGCCTTACGAATGTGGGGAATGTGGGAAATTCTTTAGACAAAATTGTAGTCTCATTGAACACCACAGAATTCATATGACAACAAAAATTTATGAGTGTGGCCAGTGTGGAAAATCATTTAGCCAAAGAGCCACTCTTATTAGACACCAGAGAGTTCACACTGGAGAAAGACCTTATAAGTGCAATATGTGTGGGAAAGCATTTGGTTACAAATCTAAACTTGATCAACACCAGAGAATTCACACTGGAGAAAAGCCATATGAGTGTGCTGAATGTGGGACATTCTTCAGGCAAAGTTACAGCCTTGTGGAACATCAGAGGATTCACACTATGTCAAGGCCTTGTGAGTGTGGCCAGTGTGGCAAATTCTTTAGCCGAAGAGCTGCCTTCATTAAACACCAGAAAGTTCACACTGGAGAAAAGCCTTACAAATGTAGTGAATGTGAGAAAACCTTTAGCTGAAGCACCAGTCTTATTCAACACTGCAGAATTCACACTGGGGAAAGGCCATATGAGTGTGGCCAATGTGGGAAATCTTTTAGGCAAAAGTCTGTCCTCATTGAACCTCAGGTGTTTCACACTGGAGAAAGGCCCTATGAATGCAGCAAATGTAGAAAATCCTTTCGCCAACTCTCTAGCTTCTTTCAACACCGAAAGTGTCACCATGGAGAGGCCTCATGAAGACAAAAAAAATCAGGAACTCTCTTAACCCAAGGTTTAATATCGCTTAGATCCTGAAAGCCCAAAAGTGGGACATTAGGCCTGCAAGGAATGTGTGTGCTGCCTTTGTAAGGGAGCTCTCTGTTTGCAGATGAACCTAGTACTTCAAGCATCCAGACGGATATGTGAGGCATACGGCAGCTGTTCTGCACATTCTACACTTGTCTTTGGGCCTTGCCAGAGTTAAATTGCTGCCATATTATCCCATAAAAGCCATCCTGCCTCTGGCTTCTTACAAAGTGTGCACCACTTACCAGTTTGCCTAGGGAAGGTAGATATGTGTGCTGTCCCTGTGCCTTAAAGACATCCCCAGTGGCCTGAAACCAAAAAGTTACTTTTCTTTTTGCATATAGGTAGAGTCTGGCCATGTTTTCACTAGAAGGGTGGTCTGGGTTCAGCTCGAGGCTTCAGGGAAGTGATAACTTCCATTAAATCTCTGCTTGCATGGAACCCCTGTGGTGCTCCAAAGTCCGTATCACTAACCGATGTCATCTTACTACATTGCTCTAGTTCTGTTCTAGAAGCTATGTCCAAGCCTTGGGCGGGTGTGAGCACTGGACAACTTAATCTAGACTGCTGTTTGTGTGAATCTGTAGATAGACTCTAATGGCAGAAATAATTTTCATTTTATTCTGCTTAACTTACGTTGACACCCAAAACCTGCAGTGGAACATGAAGGTGAAAAAATTCAGAGACTCTCCTAATGCAAGGTTTTATATCACTTAGATCCTGAAAGTCCACAAGTGAGGTATTAGGCCAGCAAGAAATTGCTGTGCTGTCTGTTGAATAAGTCTTTGTTTGTACCAGTGGTCACCCTGAAGAGGCAGCATTTAATAACTACATTGCGCACTTTTGGAATCCCCTCATTTTATCCTGTTATGGCCACGTGATTGTACATAATGCCCAACCCTGAGGATAAACCCTTCCATACGTTCTACAGAGTCTTGTGCTCTTATGTCCATATTTCCATATGTTGATTTCAGTAGTAAGATGCAGGGTCAAGACTTGAGCAAAATTAGGATGGTGTTACAGAGTATCATCAATAGTAAGTGAAGGAGCTGGCAGAAAACCAGATGGAATATGGTGCTGGAAGAGGGCTGAAGGGAGGGGATGGGGATGGAGAGAAATCAAGATATGTTATGTACAGGTATACATTCCCCATGATGAATGTGAGCATTATATCAAAAGTATACCAATAAAAGTATTTTTAAATGTGCCTCAAATTCTCTCAAATATTTCTCTCCACAACCACACTACTTCCAAATCTGTATGTCCTACAGTTGAGGACGTATTCCAAGAAGATATTTTTAAGGATTTGCAGAATC